CGTGAACTTCTTTGTGCGCTTCTTGATAATCGCCTTGGGAATGATAGGCTTGACCATGATTAGGGAGGGGAGAAGGGGAGGGGGGCGTCTTTTGTGTCACGTTACACAAAAGGAACTGGGATCCTTGTGGAGGGAAAAGTTGGTTCCTCAGCAATAATAGGAGTTGCGTGGAAAGGATAAAGAAATGTGGAAGAGAAATAATAATAATAATCATAATCAAAAGGGAAAAAAAAAGAACATGTGCATGGGAATGGAAAGCAATTGGGTCAAGGGGTGGGAAATTGGTTCGAATGAGAGGAAAAAATATGCACTTGTCGTGGTTCCCATCAACACGTTAGGGATGGGTTTATAAGGAGAGTGCAGTAAAATAGCATGTTTGACAAAGTAAATATTTTGGGCGGCAAGACAAAGAGTATCAAACAAGTCAAATCACAGTATTGCGGTGTAAAAGTAAGTACCCCCTCTCAAGACGAGCCGCTACTAAAGAAAAGTGGCAAAGACATCGTTGATAGCTCTAGGCTCTTTGACGTTAATACCACCTATGAAGGAAGTCTCATAAATGAAGTTTAATATTCCCCAGATTTTACTAAATCATTCTCACACTGATTTCCGAGAAATCTAATTTGTTTTTCATGAAAGTATAGTGTAAGATAAAATAGAGTTTATATTTTTTTACGTTTCATATGGATTTATATCTGTTCATTAGATTTTTGTAAACCCATATACTAGCGATACCTCGTTCTTGTAGTCGCATTCGGGCTATTGAGATTCACAAAAGTAGCCAAAAGAACAATCATTTAACTTGGGAGGCAAAACAAGGATGACTGTGACCCTATAAGTTATCCATAGAACACTAATATATCCCAATATTGAGTGTTTTCAGGAGGAACAAAAGTGGCAAAAAAGAATAAACTAATCTTACAAAGCCACATGTAATAAGTAGGGGTCTAGAAACGAATGAATGGAAAACAAATTTTCGGAATAACTAGAATTATACTACATCACTAAATGATTCCTCGTACTATGAATATTATCAGATATTTTGTCGATTGATAAGAACTTGGTATCCAGAGAAAGACCCTCTAGCATCCACACTATACAACTTCAAAGCAGAAAACAATACAGTAATAAATAACATTTAAATATAGCATGTAGCTATATCTCAATAGATTCTTTAAGTTGTCGAATCTGACGTATATATTACTTTTCTTATAGACGGTGACCATAGTCCGTGTAGGGAACCATTTTCGACCACATTCCCGATGTAATGAAGTACTTCTCCTCCATACGGTAGAGGTCCTCGCGCGGGATACCGAAGTCCTCCCAGTCCAACAACTCCGGGTCTCGCTCCGGCATTGCGCAGTTATCAATAAATTGCCGATCTAGCCAATCTTTGTTCCACAAGGGCGGTCTGGTCCCGAAGAGGGCGCCCTTATGAAAAGGAAGTCGCTCGTTCAAATGACAAAAAATCCTGAAGAACCATTTGGGCATGGGCATCACATAATCCCGCAGACAATTGCACTCCGAACACCATCGAAGAAGGTCATTCGTTGTGAAGCGAATGGGGCCACCCAACTCCGCAATGCGGCCCTCGGTGTGGTCTAACAAAAGCGAGCGTGCTACCACCTCGGCGATATCCCCGGCGAATACCGGCTGGTGGATATGCTGACCATTATTGGGAACCGGTACAACCTTCCAGTAGCGCTGCGCCTTGAGGTACTTGGAGTAGGTAAGATCATCCTCCGCAAAGACATCCGTACTCCGGATAATCGTGGCGGTTGGGAATTCCTCGAGAACAGCCAGCTCGGCCTCGCGTTTCTGACGCAAAAGCTTCGAGGGGCTGTTGAGGTCCGCCCCCACCATAGACATATGTGTGAACTTGAGGATGCCTAACTCACGAGACCAACGCGCCAGCATTCGTGGCCACTCAATGTTGATAGCCTCCATAGAAAACCAAGACTGGCTATTCTCATAGATAGTCGGCTCCTGCCATGCACCGACACTGTTAATCACGTTATCTACCTTCTCCAAAATGGATTTGACGACGAACTCCTTGTCGATCTCGTAATCGGTTTCAAAGTTTTGACCTACGGTTCCGTCACCCAACGCTCGTAGTTGGCGCACACCGCTCGCAATGCCACCTCGGAAACGAAATGGGATAATGTTGGTGTAGCCATGCATGCAATTCACGGCGTGAATATGGGAGCCAATAATCCCTGTCGCCCCGAAGGTTGCAACGTTGACCCCCATGGTGTTGGCCTCCGCAGTGCCAAGGCGCCAGGTTTTGGAGATCTCTCCATTCATATTACGAACATACATGCGACGCGACATAGAAACAATATTAAGATACCTTGTTCTGCTATTTCCACAAAACGTGGATGTCTGGATAAAGGGTTAAATCGATGACTTAGGGTTGACTATTTTTCTATTCACACACTACTCAATTGTTTTCTTAATGATCGCAATAGATGTTAACTATTTTCTACTTTTGAAATACTAGATAAAATGTACCGATGTATCGATATTCGAAAATTTTAGTCCACTATAATGCACGTCTATTGACGATGGAATTAACTACTTTGTGATAAAAAAAAGACGTCTAAAAACATGTATAAACAAAAAAAATAACAGGTAAACTACTGTTTGGTGTTAAAAGGTGAAATGTATCAAAAGAAAAAAATCTCATTTGGGAAGGAAACACAATAGCATACGCCCAAAGCCATATTGAAAAAATCAGGGTTATCGACCCTGACATTTGAAACCTTTTTTTTACTTGTAAGTAATAAAATTAGAAAAGAAACTTGCTTGGCTTCAATGATACCCCTTCAATGCAAAGATGACGTGAACAGGCCACTTCTTCTTCCACC